CCCCCCGGCCAGCTTTCCCCCAGTTTCTGTACTGAGCATGACGTCCCATGGTGTGGAATGTCCCTCTGGCCAGTTGGGGTCAGCTGTCCTGGCCGTGCCCCCTCCCGGGTTCTTGTGCCCCTCCAGCCTGCTCAGTCAGTAGAGCATGGGGAGCTGAAAAGTCCTTGACTAGTGTAAGCACTGCTCAGCAACAGCTAAAACATTGGTGTGTTATCAACATTGTTTTCACCCCAAATCCAAAACACAGCACTGTACCAGCTACTAGGAAGAAAATTAACTCTATCCCAGTCGAAACCAGGACAACCAGTTACTCACAGCTTCAGGAAAACTACATAGTTTGTTCAGGGTTTGGTGATAGTATCCTCTCTGTTCACAAGCTGCTTCTCCTTAGTAGATGTTTTAAGCACAAAGCTGACCTTGTTTAATGGATATTCTTGCTCATCTTCCATACAGGCTGCCATTGAGAGAAATGCACAGACTGTATTGTTTTAAAAAGTGTTAGCACTGTTTCTAGTATTGTCTTCTTAGCTTGGGATGAAGGATTTTAAAAGCATTTCTTTCTCACCACTGACACTGTGTGTTCACTTTTGCATGCCATTAGTCTTCTGAGCAAAACCAGCACCGATCTATTTCTCTTTCATTGCTAAAGGGTTTCTCTTTCCAATTTCCGTGATCTAGTACAGCGAATTGTTTTCAAAGGCATTGGGAGAATACTTATGTTGTGTTTAGTTGCACCAAAAGAAAATAGTTCTGACTAAATACAGTAAGTATCTGGCAATGTAAAAGAAATCTTAGGAAGAAGATCGTGAAACAAATTCAAAGTTTGCATTGTAGCTATGTAACTCCCCTTGCTCTCTCCAGCCAACAGTTTTCATCTTCCAGATGCAAGACCCTGTTTACATTGGATATTTTGTTTTAATTGTTTTATTTCTTGAAAAAAATCTAGAAGTTAGACCTTGGGTCCTGTCCATAGCAAAAAATAGAGACTGTTGTGACAGTAGATTTGAATAACCTTTTGCAACTTCTGGGCGATATTAGCTGCAGTATGAGTCGTCTTCTAAAGAGCTGCTAATTTTGCATTATCCTCAAGAAGTGAGTTAATAATATGTTCTAAATGGGCTTCCTATTCTTGGCACCGCAAGGCATTTTCTCCCTTGTCTCTGTTTTAGAGCTGAAGCTCTTGAAAGCGAGGGCTGCCTCTGTTCTGCATCCCATGCCGCATCGCTTGTCCTTTGTTAGCGCTGGGTAATAATAGCAGTAGTCTTGTCTTCTTGTCGGTTGATAAGCACTTGAGCTGCATCTCAAACAGAGCTGACTTTTTGAATGACTGCTCACCCAAGCAAATAAATAGCTCGCGTCTGCGCAAGATCCTTGGATGTCAAGGTACCTGGCAGCCGGTGCTGTGGAAGTGGGGGCTCGCTTCATGCTGAGCAGAGCTGGCACACCCAGCGTGCCGCAGGCTTTTCAGCTGGCTGAAGAGGTGTACGGTGATTTACTAACCTCATCTAGCGCTAAACTCTGTGGAAGTGGACACATTTATGGTATATAAAAGGTTATGAAGAAAATAGCCAAGCGTTGCGTGATAGAGGGGATTTTTGTTTTTACTGGAGTTCTCACCTCCTGCAAATCCTGTGGCTTTGATGCGATATCCTAGAAACACCCACAAACCCACTTGCCAGGGTTTCCAGAGACAACATCGCTGCCAATTTTACCACTTAGAACTTACTTTTCAAAAAGACCTCCAAGACCTAGATTTTCTGGGAGGACCAGAACCAGCACCACTTCTTCCAACCCGGCTGGTACGTTTGAGTTTCCTGATACCAGCTTGGTGAGGTGATTCTACATCCAGATGGAGATAGGGTCACTGCCCCAACAGCCCAATGGGCTGAAGGGCGAGTTTGGTATTTATGATCATCGTGTGCTTAAAACGTCTTCTCTCCAGCCATCTGCAGCACGCTTCTGGGAAAAAAAAGAAAAACCTGTCTGTGTCTCACTTGTATTTGTTGTCTGTTTTTCCAGTACTACCTGCAAGTGCACACCCTTTCTCTATGTATCATATATAAAAATATATATGTATATGTATGGAGAGATATATAACATATATATTATATGCAGAGATTTGTTTTTACAGCATATATAATATGTGCAATCATATTATATACAATATCTGTAAAAGGAAATTCTGTTCCAGTGTTATCTCCCAGCTGGAAATTTGTGGCAATGAATTTGCACGTGTGTGACTGCTCCCTCCTCCTCCAAGACCAGGAATGGCAACTCACAGTGGGTGTCCTGCATCTCAGAAGACATCTTGGATGTGCCAAGTTTTAGTCCACATGGCTGAAGATGGCTGAAGACTCATTATTCCCTGCTAAACGTTCTGCTTTGGCTCTCGTATGTGCTTTGTTCCCACTTCTGCAGCATGCTTTCCACTTCATGGAGCCTAACGGACAAAGGAGAGCCTTCCCTTACTTGTTCAGCTGGAGCCCACTGGAGTCAACACAAACTTCTGCTGCCACTGCTGTTGGGAAGCCCAAGGGGCCTCTAGAGTTGAAATCATCCCTCGGGACACCTCATCTTCCTTTATGCTCTCTGTCTTCTAGAAGCTCCAAGTGTGACTAATAAGCAATAGCCAGCCAAGTTCAACTCTTCATTTCTGTTAGGCCCATGACCCCTATTTTGTTCTAGAAAGTATTTATTAGTGTCATGGAAACAGGATCTCCAATTCTCTCCATGTTGCAGTGAACAAAGGAATCCGGAAAGCATTCATGAGTATTTCGAAGGGCAATTTCGAGGGAAAAAATTCCTTCTATCAGTGAAGAACTAACTGCAAAACTGGTGTAAAATGTTCATCGTCCATCTGAGGAATAATTGTGTTGCTCGCAGTGATACAGCCTAGAATAAAGATGACAACCTTCATGCTTCAAAGCACGAACTGATTTACCATCCAAGATCAGGAAGAATTTTTTCCATCGCTTAGGCACGTTACAGGACATGTCAACTTTTAGTTGACATATCAGACATGGGCCACTGAGCGACTAGACGGCCACATGGGGTAAAACATGCGTCTGCTCTCATATGTCTGGGGACACTGAGCAGCTGGGCCATGGTTCTGCAGGGAGACAGTGTCCAACCAAATATACCCCAATCAGAAGAGGAGCACAGACCTTGAGGAGTCACTGCTCTGCTCTGGTATTTCCATAGCCAGCATGTTTATCATCTTTGAATGTTTCCTCACTAACCCCTCTCATCCACAAGAAGAGCATGGAGTGTTAGCACTTTTAAAGCCTTACATTTCTTCTGAGCGTGAAAGAGAAACATCTCGCATGAGGATCTAACCAGTCATCATTTAACCTAACCTGCATGGATGTGCTCCCACTTTCTTCCTTAGTCTTCTTCCTTGTTTCTTGAATTGAACGTATCTGAAATCTTTCCATTCTGAATGATTTTTCTTCTGATTCCAAACCCCAATAATTAAGATTAAGGCTCAGTCTGGAGAGATACTGGGAGAAGAGCTTTTACTTCCAGCACAAGCTAGATTTTACAATACATATATACAAACTGGCTGCCTGTGGCCTTCTTCAGAGCATCCATGCTTCCTTCCTTCTGCCCCAAAATGACAGGGGATGGAAGTGCTACCCAGGCTTGTGCTAATTAGCAAGTTGAGAAACGTTGGAGAGTTGGGGGCCAAACTCTTCCCATATCGACTTCTCTTTTTACCTCCAGAAAAGCAGAAAGAACCTTAAGGGTTGTTCTACGTGGGGAACTAAGAGTAGTTTCCTCCACCATGAGAGAATCCACGGCTGAAAAAAATGTACATCTTCCAGCCCCATCACAAGCAAGAGAGAGTATAGTGGGGACAGGTCTGGAGAAAATGGCACTGCACTCCAGTATTCTTCACCAAGGAAGAGGCACCCATAGCCAGGCCTAAGATCCTTGAAGTGAAAAGGTTGAAGGTCTCTGAACCACCTTTGAATCCACTCCTTTTCTTCTCTGCACTTTCTTCATCTTCACTGAGAAGATTTCTTGCCCCGGAACTTCATCTAAATATGGTTAGGAAGAAACTAGTAGCTAGCACTGGCCCCAGGAAGGCCGGTTAGGAGTTAAGAGATCTGTTTCAGGATGTTTCCACCACTTATGAGAATTCCACGTTCTTCCTTGTAGGCGCATAGCTGGTGGAGACACAGACACAAGTTTGCATGCTCGATCCATCAGGCAGAGGCAGCGGACAAGGAAGAGTTACCAGAGCTGTCAAAGACACTGAGTGCTGTGTATTGGATACATCTTGCTGAGCTTGTCCTGGTATCTTCAGAGTGGCGTTCAATCACCAAGTGACAGAAAACCAATGTCTTTCTTGTAGGGTGGGTTGGGTCTCTTGCCTTCATTCTTCCAGCAGCAGCAGTGGCAGTATGTTTTAAAATAAGACCCTAGCAACTCCCAGGTTCCCCCAAAACAACTGATGTTCCCTCCTAAACAAGCAAGGAAACAAGTTCTCCTGTTGGTGGAGTTGTCTGCCCAGAGCCCTAATGGAAGCCCTTGATTTCTTGCAGACACTGATGAGTGCCACTCAAGCCCCTGTCTGAATGGAGCTACCTGCGTTGATGGCATCGACTCTTTCAAATGTTTATGCCTTCCCAGCTACGGAGGGGACCTGTGTGAGATCGGTACGGCCTACCTGGCTTCAGCTAATCTTACTAACTGCTGCACTACCTCGTTCCCACCCTACCCCCCAAAAAAAGCTGATCCCAAGTGCTTCCATCAGTCCTGCCCTCATCTCAGTGAGCTAACCTCTAACAGCAGCTTAAAATACAGTAGGGAAAAGCTTTGAGAATTTTGCTTGTGTATTTTGATTACTTTGTTCATCACAGCACCGTGTCCTCTAAGATTCCTAAGCAGAAGCTTCTGGTGTCTTGTTCAGCTTTCTCTAAGTTTCTCTAGTGAAGCTCCATGCAGATTGTAACGGTGTTGATCACAGAAGTCGCTGTCTCTTTGGGTCAAGGGTCTTTCTGTTCATCTGTAACAGTAGGGAAACATCTGAGTACATCTTCACCCCAGGCAAACTCTCTCTGCTAGACTGGAATTTCATGGAAGGATGCTTCAACTGAGCCATGCAAAATGATAGTGTTTCTCTCTGTGAAGATGCAGCTGAGAGAAGCCTCGTTCACCCCAGGAATCTCCACCGATTTGACACAGCATGACATTTTTGTCATCTCTTCACTGTGGCTTCCTGTGGCAAAATCAGCAGGGAATGTATATCTTTGAGAAAATGTGAAGTGACCTATTTTTCCATTAAAATTAGGTACCCTGACCTGCACTAATACTTCTTTTTGTTTCTACAAGGAAAGAAAAAAGGGTTGGTTTTTTCCTTAAAGCTGATGAAAGTCCAAACTTTTATCAGCTTAGCTGAGGGGAAGCTCTCCTGCTTTGCTCAAACAAAAGAGGAAGAAGGTTGCAGTGTCTTCTTCACCTTGGCACAAGTGATGATGATATATATTGGATTTTCTCCTCCCCTTTCTCTGCATCTCTCTTTCTGCTTCCAATATGATCATATGGAGTAGACCATAAGAAGGCAGCTCAGGATCATTGGACCGTCTGTCTTAACATCACTTTCCTAATGCAACCTAATCAGCCTCTGATTTCCCCATCCCTGCTACCTGTTGTTGAAGATCCCTGTAACAGAACAAGAGACTTTCTACCCTGCAGCCACTTACGACCTTGTTTGTTCCAAGCCAGACTTAATTTCCTCTCTTCTATGATTTATGGGCTGTGATGCCTGGGGCCCATAGCTTGGGAGATGCAAGAGGAAGCCAGTGCCCCAAATTCAGTGGTGAATGTAAATCTTCATTATTCCCGTGAGGAAACCTTCCATTCTACAACATCTATCGGTCTCTAAGAACAGCAGGACACCGTAGGTGAGCTCTGCCATCTGTGCACACAGCCAGTCCTTCTTGTCACCACGACAGCGTTCCTACCAGGGAACAAGCTTTTCATCATTCTTTTCCAAGACGATTGCTGTCATATTTCCCC